CCCTGTGTGTTTTGTTTGTTCTTTCACTGGTGGCTCTCAGCCTTAGCTGATTAGAATTACCTGATGGAGCTTTGAAATATTTACTCACTTTTCCCACCCTTTACCAGGTAACTCAGAATTATGACCACAAATAAAGCTGACAGGTAAAGGGAAAACTGGAATAAAAAAACTGTAACTTACACAAGACAAAGTTTTAGTTTCATGAACCAGAAAAGTCATTCTGTTTAGAATCAATAAGAAAAGAATTTTTTTTAAACTACTAGGTTAAAGCTAGGAGAAGATCATGAAGAAATAGACACGGCCACAACCTTCAAAAGAGGCTCAACTTCTCCAGTAAGTAGGGAAATACAAAACAAAATAATGTGAAACACTATTGTTCACCCACAAAATGGATTGGAAAAAAAAGTGACTGATAATGATCAAGATTGGTGAGGAGGTATAGAAACTGGTGTGCTTAGAAACTACGAAAGTATAAACTAGTTCGGTATCTTTAAGAAGTTGGCAATATTTATTTAATATAAAGAGCATATGCCACCAATCTAGCAATCTAGTAATCCAATAATTCCACTTCTGAGGTTCTCTTTTACAGAAATATGCACATGTGCACTTAAAGATATGAGTACAACTGTGGCACTGATAGTGTGGGGGTTTTGAAGGGAAACTGACATCTCCATTAACTGTGAAATGGCTAAATAAATCATGGGATACTATACTGCTCAGTTTAAAAAAGGGAATCTTGGTCTAAATATACTGGCAAAGAAATATGTCTCATATATTCTTCACTGAAAGAAGCAAGCTTTAGAATAGGTACAGTGGGATCCATTTCTGTAATCCTGTGATATTTCTGTGTGTGTGTTATATTATCAATATTTTGTACATTGTTCTCAGTTTACTCCCTACTTCAAGGCACTTAGATGGTTAGTAATTTCTTGCTTTAGTGATTTTTGCAGGTAGAAAATAGAGGTCCTTAGAAGTCAACACATTTGGTGAAGAGATTATATTAATATTTGAAGGTAAGGTTTGAAGATTATACTAGGGTCTGAAGGTAAGGGGGAGGGAATGCCTCATCAAGAACTAGTCAGAGATTTCTCTCCAATAGCAGCAGAAGATAGGCATTTTGGCCCAGAGGAAGACTTGATATTGCCCCAGTGGTGGCTAACCTCAGGGAGGGTAAAACCTGATGCGCCCTGGGGGACTGGATCCAGGGAACTGGTATCTGGTTGTCAAAGATGTCAGTGTCTCTGCCTCCAAGGCCCAATATCAGCAGAGGCAGCCGACCTCAAGGGACCCTGTGGCCTCACACAGCAGCTGGTAAACTCAATGGCCAGAACAGGACTCTGGGAAGTTTTTGCCACTCTGGAAGTAGGAAAGTCCTGGGAATAATGGAGGATAGGGGCTTGGATACAGATTTAATTTGACTAAAATAATGATAATAAAGGGATGCAGCATTTCATGTGACATCTGATTTGGAAGAAAGAAGCCTGCATGTTTCCAAATACCCAGAGAAAAGTTTAGAGAGGTGGAGTACATAGTGGGCATCTTGGGGAGAGAAGATATACTGCTAGAAGAGAAAGGCAGAGACTTTTAGTCTCACTTTCATACCTCTTTCTTGTTTGAATTTTTGACATTGAATATCTATCTTTTACTCTTTTTTACAATGAATGAGCTTCCCAGTTCTGCATGATCCTAAGTCACCCCACCTCAGCACGACCACACTGCCTGGTCCCACAGACCACCTGTCCCTCTCCCTCAGGTCCCCAGCTCCCTGCCTCAGCCCTAACTTCTGATCCATCTTAGCCCTTCACTGACGAGCCAGCTCTCTGCCGGTCCTACCCACGTCACCCAGCCACCCAGCCCAGGGCTCTGGTCCAACTTCCTCAGCTGCTTTCTGCCCTCGTTGCTGCCACGGCAGCATGACCTGTGGCTGCTGCCACCGTCCAATGGTAGCTGGCAGTGTCCAATCTCTGTGTTACAGAAAGTTGCCTGACTTGTTTTGACAACAATTTGTTCCTAGTCTAATCAAACCAGCTCCTTTTTATTGCTTGGGAAAAACAGCATCTGCATGAGTATTTCTGGAGCTTGTATCAAGTCTCCTCTGCCAGAAGCTGTGACCCTGTGGGGTCTTGCAGTAAACTAAGGAGCTCAGTGACTAGTCTGGCTCCAGTCAGAGGGGATTGTATGATGTCACTTGTAAGGATGGAGATCACTGGACTAGGATTTGGCTGCCAGAGGTGGTGTCCTGTAGGAGATTCTGTAGGAAAGAGCAGGCCCCCTTCTCCCAACTGCCGCACCTTCTCGTCTTGTCAAAGAACAGCACCGTGACCAACTGCATGGCCTGACACCTGGCCACAAGTTTAGGCAGAGAGACGGGAGGGCTTGGTGTGACATGGGCAATTTTGCCTTTTGCTTAACCGTGTTTGTCCTGTGACATTCCCTTCCAGCTTCTCTGAGTGAACCGTTTTCTTCTGGGGATGTTCAGCCCAGCATCTTGGGACTGGAGGTCCTCTTACAGCAAAGCTCCAGAATCACACGGATGCCACACCACCAACCAAGGACAGAGTGGGTATCCTCCACAGCAGGAGGGTCTGGGACGCAGGCACGGAGTGGGAGGCGCCGAGGGAGCTGGCTCTCACTTTGGTTTGGCCGCGTCTGTGAGGGAAGGCTGTGCGCCATCCCTGTCAGGTTGGGCTGCCCTTGGGAGCACTAGGTAGATTAGTCTGTCGCTCCCTCTTGGAAGGTGTCCCCTCCAGACACTTCTTCCTCTCTCCTAGCCTCCTGAGATGGGTCACGGGCATGCTTGCTGTGTCTGAGGACCGGTGAAGAGCCAAGGAACGGAGGCGCAGAACAGGCATTGTGCACGTGTGGCTCGCTCCCTCCAGCATCCGGAAAAGTGCTCCTCATTGTGTCCACTGGTTGTCCTGATATACATCTCTGCGCAGAATGCTGACGGAGATGCTCCAAAGGAAGCAGGGACTCTCCACTCACACTTCATGGGGCGAGACTAAATAAACATAAACACATTCGATCCGCAACCGCTGCTGCTCTGGACCAAGGTGTCCTCGATCCTGTCACAGGGAGACCCCCTCACTGTGGCTCATGGGCCATATTTTCCCACTGTGTGTCTTTATGGAATTTCTACTTCTTTGATTACAGTATTTAAATAAGAATGTATCAATGTCTTTCTGATTAACTAGAAAAATCTCTTCATTTTTTTTTCATTTTGTTTTATTGTGGTAAGTACATATAACATAAAATTTTCCAATTAGAAAATTTGTACACAATTTACTCTTTTGTGTACAATTCAGTAGCGTTAAGTACATTCACATTGATGTGTAACCATCATCACCACCCATCTCCAGAACTTTCTCATTTTCCCAGACTGTAACTACCCATCAACAACTCCCGATCCCCCTCCTAGCCCCAGCAACCACCATGAGACAGATGCCTTTCAGTCTTTATGAATTTGACTTCTCCAGATACCTCATATCAATAGAATGCTATGGCATATGTTTGTACATATAACATAAAATTTTCCAATTAGAAAATTTGTACACAATTTACTCTTTTGTGTACAATTCAGTAGCATTAAGTACATTCACATTGATGTGTAACCATCATCACCACCCATCTCCAGAACTTTTTCATTTTCCCAGACTGTAACTACCCATCAACAACTCCCGATCCCCCTCCCAGCCCCAGCAACCACCATGAGACAGATGCCTTTCAGTCTTTATGAATTTGACTTCTCCAGATACCTCATATCAATAGAATGCTATGGCATATGTTCTTTTGTGTCTGGCTTATTTCACTCCAGGTCCATCCCTGTTGTAGCACATGTCAGAATTTTCCCAGCCACTTTTTCAAGCTCAATCTCTCTGGTTGTCTGCGCTGCTCTCCAGAATTAGCTCTGTTCCCTTCCATGGTCCATGTGGAGAAGGAGCATGACTGATGCACACAGGCCTGCACATCTGTATCCTGCAGGGCTACTTTTTTTCTGGTTATACTAGGGTTACCTTGGCAACCATCTTGGTGAACAGATGACCAAATTACAAGTGCAAAAGTTCATGAAGACTGAGATAACTTATATGGAAGAACACAGTGTCATAATTTTTTTAAGTACAAAGTGATTGTGACATGGTTCATACACCTCATTCTTAGTCTCAAGTGCCCTACTATGATCCAGGCATGGTACTAGGTCCTGGATACATGGCGAGACAAAGGGAGGTGGTGTCCATGCATCCCGCAGTCTGCAGGGGGACAGACATTAATCCAGCAATTGCAAACACAGCTGAAGAAAAAGGTCATAATTCATGGTGCCCACAGTCTGTGGGGGGACAGACATTAACCCAGTAATTACAAACACAGCTGAACTCTTTGAAAAGATCATAATTTTATGGAAGCATAGACCGAGAGAAACCGACCTAGAATGAGGCACAGGAAAGGTTTCCCTGAGGTATTACAACACACAAACCCAGACCTGAACAATGTGTGGGAGACAGCCTCAGTTGGAAGGGAAGGGGTGGCCTGAGGAGATCTCTGAGAAGATCACACAAGTGATCTTCACAGAGACTGGATACAACACTCACTACTGCTTAGAACTCCAAGTCCTCCAGGAACAAAGGGCACAGTGCTTTGTCTTCTACAGATGGAGGCCAAGGTACAGATGACAGTCAGCTGGAAAATGTGTTTTTGAGGTTTATTCTGTTCTGCTTCTGATTCAGTATGTTTCAAAGGAGGGACTCTGGGTGAATTTCAACCATGGCAGTGACCTGGAGACACTGAAGTGGGCCAGAACCTGGATCAGGGCAGTCTGTCTGGTGTGGGGGCCCCTGGGGCCATGGAGGAGAGGGTTTAGTTCTAGCCAAGATGGGAGCCAAGAAGTAAGAACATGATCTGGGCATTAAGCATTGACTGAGATGAGGGCTGGGTTACATTTTTGGGGGGAGGTAAGACTTCAGTGAAACCAGAAAATCAAAATAGAAGCTGTCTGCCTGACACATTGGGTGAACACAGTGGGGACATGATGCCCTGGCATCACACTATTATACTTGGGAATGAGACGAGGATCTCGTGAGACGAAGTACAGAAGCTGCTGGGCCTGGAAGGTGCTCATCTTGGATTTTTCAGGACACAGAGACCAGCTAGAAGAAGGGTAAGTTGGATGACAGGGGTGGAAAGCAATGTATTTTACCGCCTGAGGCTATTTGGAGGAAGACGGTCTGAGTTTCTGCAAGAACCACATTGCGGTCAGGGGTCCCTAAGACTATCCTCAAGTTAAATAAAAAGACCACCCTCAGAAAGAAGGCTTGCCAATGATTCACTAGAAGGACCTATAGAACTCAGAAAAGTTGTTATACTGGCAGTAACAGTTTATTACAATGAAGGGATGCAGATTACAAACAGCAAAGGGAAAAAGACTGAGGGGGCAAGGCCCAGGAGGAACCGGGCTCACGTTTCCAGGTGTTCTCTCTCCCTGGATTTGTATAGATAGTGCTTACTTCTCTCAGCAATGATGAGTGACAACAGGTGAGGGGCGCTGCCAGCTAGAGGAGCCCCCAGCATTGGGGTACAGCGTTCTTGTGGGGATTTTGTCACATAAGCATGGAGCACCCACAGAACTGACCTTGTTCTCAGTGTCTAGCTACTCCAGGGCTCAAACTGATATGGCATGGCTCAAGGACCCCACCGTAAATCATGCTGTTAGCATAGACTTTCTGGAAAATCCCTAACCTCCAGGTACACAAAAACAACCTTATCAGGGACCATATTCCAAGAGTTTGGATCTCATCTCTCAGGAGCAAGTCAAGAGCTAGAAGATTTGGAATGTGCAGAGTTTGAAGACTCCAAAGCTGCTGGTTTAACCCTTTACTGCACAAGCAGGAATGGTCAGTATCAAAAATTAAAGAGGAATGTCCATCGTAAAAGGAGGAAATATGTTCTGGATAATTATCATCAGTTCCAAAATTTTGTTCTGCCTCACCCTTGAATCAGAGCTCCTTCCTCCTCCAAAACACCAGTCACAGCTGCCGTGTGATTTCTGCCAGGTCCCCTCACCTTCCATGCACTCATCTTGCCTGGAATGGGGATGAGTTGAGGAGGGACAGGGCGGCATCAAGTCAGCTGTGATCAGACATTTTATCCCGCACCTTGAAGTCACTGTGAAACTAGGCTGGCTCTGCAGTGATGCACATGGAAATCTGTGGGTTGCTTTCAGGGCTCATCCCAGTATTTGCTGTACACGGCACACAGATGGTGTGTGTGGGATAGTTCATCCACCCCTCCCCCACTTTGTAATTATTGTGTCACCTCTTCTGCATGCCTTCCTATTTCCCTTACCATCAAATAATGCTTATTTTAGCTTTGAAAAAAGATTTCTTTACTTGGTTATGGGCCTCATATTTTACCAAACTGCTTCTACTTACAACTTCTTAAAAGCAACTAACCAAAGAGACCACTTATTTTCCCTGTGAATGCTTTAAATATATTTGAATAAAATAAGATGAATTTAAAATAGGATAAAAAGCAATTTTCATCAACTCCTCTTTACTCTTCCTTTCAGCAAATTTTCCATCATGTATCTCATTATTTTAGGAAGGCACTAGGTAGTGAAATAATTTTTTGTAACAAAAATGTCTATGACTTTCCCACTTACTTTATCCTTTCTCTTAGGTAAAGGTTTCTAGAGATGCTATGTCTTAGTTGACATGCAAACCTGCAGTTATAGGAGTTTCTGGGTTAAGGTGTTTTGATATCTATAAATTGTTTTACCTTTTCAGTCTAAAAGTGAGGCCACAGGCTAGTACTAAGTGGAAGTGACATTCAAGTGGTACACGCTAGTGTGGTATGCTGGTCAGTGTCCATGTGCTTGGTTACTGCTTCATGCCTGCTGATTGTTAAATACTTTGAATGTCATGCTGAGCTGCACGTGGGAAGTGTGAGCTTGGGAGGCCCTGAGTCATACTCTATTCAGTGAAGCATATTATAAATGGATAACAAGATTTTCTTAACTGAAAGCAGAACAAAAGGCTTCACTCTTTGTGCCATCAGCAGATTTCAGAACAGTAAAAAATCCAGGGTGCTTCATAAAATTAATCTTAGTATTTATAATGGCCTATTTATTTCAGAATCTTATTTTAGAAACTTTGTTCATGACTCACAAAAATGACAAAAAATGTGTATATCCAGAGCCCATGTTGTGTGGTGAGGATGAAACTCCTCCAAGGCACATTGCTAATCAGGACTTTAAGTTGTTAAGGGGAAAGGATATGGATATCTCTCCATCTGTCAAGTGAGTAATTTCCTATATTAGCATTTCTTTGCAGGATAAGTAGACTGAAACAAAAGTTCACACTCAAGAGTACAGACCCTGGTGCCACTGCCAGTTTGCACACGCCCACTCCCTGGACCTCCGCAGCTACTTTGCACATGACTATGCCCTACACCCTAGCACCAAGAGGGATCTCCTTGGCTGTGACTACCCCCTTGCAGAGGAAAAGAGGAGCAGACGGATCCCAGGGGCCTTCACCACTGAGGACTCAAGCAGGCCTTGCCACCACTGCAGACACTCCCAGCCTTGGACACTGAGGACCCCTGCAGCCTTCCCCAGTGCTGTTTTTAGCTTTGGAGCCACCCAGAATCTTTCCTGCTGCAATCCTCAGAACCAGAGCCACCACGGCACCTACTTTAGCTGGAACTGCTGTACCCCACCCAGCTGGTGCCATCAACCCACTCATAGATGAAAGATCTTTTCCCCATTGAAGCCAGACCATAAAGTCTGGAAGACATAACCGCCCTTTCAAATGCACAGACAGCAATGCAAGGATACAGTAAGATAAAAAAAATCTAAGAAACTTACACCACCAAAAGAACAAAATAATTTTCCAACAACCAACCCAGAGAGATGGAGATCTATAACATGCCTGAAAATTCAAAATAATTGTTTTAAAGAAGGTCAGCAAGCTACAAGAGAATTTGGACAACTCACAAAAGTCAGGGAAACAGTACACATGAGCAAAATGAGAAGCTGAAGAAAGAAATGATAATCACAAAAAAGAACTGAATAGAAATTCTGGGGTTAAAGAATAAAATGAATGAAATAGAAAAAAGCAATAGATAGCAGTAGGCTCAGTCAAGCAGAAGAAACAATCAGCATATTTAAAGAGAAATTATGGGAATTGTCCAGTCAGAGGA